TTTGGTCTACAGTATAAGCCAACATGTTGAAGTGAACCACCTTCACGGTACAGAAAATTCTGGGTTAACCCTGAAGATACTTGGATAAGAGGAAACCCTGCTTGTCAGTGCAGACTCTTGTTCACAAGGATCAGCCAATCAGAAAGAAGCATCCTTGAAAGGTAGACATGTTACAGAACAAGCACTAAGGGGCTGCACCAAGGTCAGGTATAAAATAAAGCTCATTTTGATGTGAAAATCATGCAAAGCTACTCTAACAGCATCCGAGGATACAAATAAGGAGTGTGACCAGTCACCTTCAGAGATTATGATACACTTTACCCACCATGTCTGAGACCTCACAGGGTTAAACACCAACACACACACAGACCTCGTGTTCCAGCTGGTTACTGGCCTGAATCATCTAAAGTAAAGCCAAAAAGGTGAACATTTCTTTCACACTATAAAGTATCTGTGCGCGCGTGTGTGTGTGTGTGTAGATGTGCGTGTACCTGACCTAAATTGTCAGCAAACCAAACTTTCATCTCAATACAGTGAGCTCAACTGGCAGCAAAATAATATTGTGGACTATAACACTGTGTGCGTGTGCGTGCATTCAGTGTGAGCACAGAGTGAGTGATGCAGGGACAATTACATCATTCAGCGACCTGGGAAATCATTTTAGAGATGCTCCACTTAAGAGCAAGCTCCAGCACATGCACACACACACAGACACACACACAGGTTGGCTAACTTCCACATTACTGCTGACTGTAGCATTAAAGTCCTTCTCAGGCGACAGCTGCCAAACACTGCGCACTCGAGTGTATTTATGACATCGAGTGTGTTTACCCAGATAACACTACCAGGTTATTAATCATGTAAAACATTAAGTAATACTCTGTGCTGTCCTCCTGCTACTACATCTATTTTGCCACCTGCACAATGAAAATAACTTCCTAATGTTGCATTTTCTCCATATAATCAACCACCCAGATGGCTTAGCTCCCATTAACGAGCTCCCTTTGTATGTGGATGTGTTTTAACAGTTTGCACAGGATGTTTTATGTCCTAAAGCTCCATCTTTCTTCTGAAATATTTTTCCCCCGGATCAAACGCCTACTCCGATGGTAAACATGGCTCTTCACCATCTGCTCTGTATGTCTGCCCATGTGTCTGTATGTCTGACGTTCCAGTCTAAATATCATATAGAAATTAGAAAACTACCCTGTCAGTCTGATTTTAAATTAAACATTTTAAAGTACCCAATAAAGACACATGACCTCAGTCTGATAATTAAAAACAGGACTGTGGTGCTGCCATTGTTGACCTGCAGACAGATGACCATCAGAAGTTCCATGGGTAGAATATTCTTTAATCAGACTGAGCCAAGTGAAGCTCTCATTACAGCTAGCTTATTATCGCTTATGATTATTCTTTTTCCACTATAGTCATGAAGGATAAATTCCCCAGTCATTCATATTTACAGCAGACTGTAGACTGTTGGGTATAAAATATGGACATAGCCACCCTCACATTTAGACTAAACAATCAAAATTAGTCACATGTCACCTTTTGGATATAGAGGTTACCACAGTTAGATAAGAGGATTGATCGCTAAATTATCAGCTAGTTAGCTCGATTAGCAAACTGTCTCCATAAAGTGTGTGTGTTTTTTAAGTGTTTGGAATTATAATGGGATCGAATGGGCATTGATTGCTTTTAAAACATGCCCTTAACATAACAACTGTTTTTGGCACTTTCACAATTAATATTTGACTTGTTGGGGAGGGATTTAGAGTCAGGCACACCAAACCTGACTCCATTTTGTCCAGTTATGGTTACTGGTTCTCAGGGAACATTGTATAAGAATGCAGCTGGAGGAGGCATATGGACAGTGCATTATTTTAATGCAGAGAACTGTGGTTGCATGTTGTTACAGATGTGTATTTATGCTCCTTTTTTCATTTAACCAGACTCCAATCATTAATCAATGTGTCAAACTGCTTGGCGGCCACGTTGTACTGGCGCTAGATTAAAGGCCAGATGATGAAGTTATGACAATTCCTCTTAATGGAGACATAAATGTGCAAATGTCATGGGAATCCATTTAACTGTAGTCGAGATATTTGACCCGTAACAGCAAATGTCAACCTCACATTAAACCCCAGAACCGTAAATGTCTGAACCATATTTCATGAAAATCCATCAGGAAGAATCTGAATCTCAGTCTGAAGCAACGTATTGGACACAAAGGCTGAAACTCTGCAGCACAATTTTAGCTCAGTTTCAGATTCTTTGTTTGCATATTCCTAAAATAATTGGCAGAAGAATAATAATTACAAAGCAAGAAAGGGAAGTAACAGGGGTTAATGGGGGCCTAGCAGTCTATTGTCGCCCCTGAAACCTCAACCACATAATCCATCGATGGCTGCAGACGCATAACAGCATAAGATTCATTTAAAAGCAGATCATTTTTGAGCCATTCAGATGGTTAATTTACAAAGTAACCTCCGCAGGACATGATTAATATTCCAGAGGGATGTAGGCACTAAAATATTAGCAGCTTTTTATTTTTTTTGTCTGAGTCACATCACAACAGGTTATTTCGAATAAAAAACAACAACAACAACAAAAAAAACTATATATGAATGAAATGGAGGTGTTCATTTATATGAAGGCACATTTCTGTGGGACAGCAGCTTTAAAATGAACAAGCAACAAACAAAGTTTAGCTTCACGTGTTTTTTTGCAGATCAGTAGGAACGTGTTCAGCTTCGTGTTGTAAGTGCAAGTAAGTTGATAACTGTCAGTTAGAAAAGAAAGAAACTTCTTTCTCTGTATGTAGGCTCAAACTTCAGGGTTGGATTCAGAACTACTCTTTGGTGTATGTTTGGCATGATCAAATGTTAATGCATTCAATGATCCACTCATATGAGAGTAAAAGTGAAATGGAAACCTGGTTATGGGCCTGAATCTTTTGGTTTTTTGGTGAATGATTGCAAGCAATTGCGTCAACCAACTGGTTGGTTTAGCTTCCAACACCCTCTACCTCTGAGCAACCACTTTGGACCACAGCTCAGTCAGGTCACCTAGTGGGAGGCAACCTATCTCCAAACATTGGCATTCAGACTCGGACTGACTACAGTTACTCTTAGAGAATGGAGTTTTGCAAATTCTGGGTATCTGATTTAAAACTGTAGGCTCAACGTGTTCAAATCTGACTGGCTCAATGTGGATTCTTACTGTGAACAGTTGGGGTTGTTAATTTTGTTAATTTTTGTTAATGTTAATTTTTGATATGCATTTCTATGTATGTAAACAGCAACAGAGTTGCATTAGAAGACAACAAATGTGCAATTTTAATGTGTCATATTCTATGACAAACAAACTGCATGCAATTGGTAACTTGACACCTTTGAATGACACACTGACAGGAGGTGATTCTGACGTATTGCCTTTTTGTCCTCTTGATGCACCAAAGTCATTTTGAACATTGCAGCTGGTGAGTGCTGCTGACCTGGTCCCTGTTTTCAAGGCAGCTATTTCATAGTCTCGTTGTGCTTCAGCCAGCGACTGTTTTCCCTACTGTGACTATTGCATAGGAGAACTGATTTTAAAAGTACCATCTTCTCGTCTTTGAAAGGATCTTTCATTAGCACGTGGCTAAAATGCAACCCAGTCCCAACCCTACCTCTCAGTGGTTCTTTGGCGACCTGGTAGACAGTAAGAGGTTCGTGTACCTATGAAATGAGGTCAGATGAGCTCTCTCTCCTGGCAATTATTGCAGCATTTTGATTCAAAACAGGTTTTTAATTAATACCCGGGCATGGGGAGGAAGATCACATACATGTGATCTCCATATGGGATTAAAAACCAGTGAATAGAGCATGAAATATTAAAAAGTCACCCCTGGAGGGATTAATCCTGCATAAATGTAGATTTATCTGGCACTTTTCTACCTAAGAGAATGAAGCATTTCCAGACTGCTTCCAAAATGTGAGAAAATGCCACAGTGGTGTTGTAGTGAGGAGAGAAAATGGGTGCCATTTGGTTCACTGTAAACAACCGAACTTTAAAAGACAAGGCTAGAACTGAGAAACACAGATAATGGAAAGGGCATGCTGTAAGTCCAGAAATATTTTGCGGCATGTCGTGATTATTATTTAGAAAAATGCACATGTCAGAGATTAGCAAGGATTCATCTATTGTTTAGATCCAATCACATTTTCAACTGGATGGAGTAGAAATGGTTTCATTTTGTGCTTTTTGTTTTTTGTTTTGCTTTTTTTACGACTCCTATTATCATCAGCTCCCTGCTGTCCTGTGCAGAGCTCCAGCATCTGTTTCTATTTAATTTGCAGTTTGAAATTTAATTTTGCAGATCTTGTTAAGGACACAGAGGGAACGCAGGAGCCAGCAGCATGTGACTGGAGAGAGCTGGAGCCAAAAGGAATGACAGAGAAAAAGAAAGCATAGAAGCAAATGGATCAATAAAAGACAAGAGAGGTCATTAACGGTACTGGGGAGGTCATCAAACTTAATCTTTACTGATGAAAAGGTTTGGGTAACTCTTTGAAAATATTAAAAACACTGAATGTGTTCATTCAAAAAGTGGTCCTTTGTTCAGATTTAACAGAAGGAAAGTTTGTCTTTTGTCCCCCCAAACAGTGATTGAAACTAATGAACAGATGTTAGCTGCCAACAGATGAATTTTTGTTCCACTTGGTTTCAGACTGATGTCACCAGAAGTCGCATTCTCTGCAGAGTCTCCATCACTGTACATTTGGGATGATGCAAATTTTTTGCTCAGTTAAATTTTTGACATTAGTTTGAGACATCTCTACATGTTGCATCGTTTGAGGCAAACACGTGACTACTGGTGGCTTTTTGAATAATCACCTTCCACCTAAAATGAGTCCTTTACACACCTATTTTATCCATAGATGGCTTCCAGTCTCACATGTAGCACCAAGTTTGACACAAGTGTTAAATGAAACAGTCTGCGAGTGTATTTGTACCTGTTTTTGTTGCTGGAGATCCAGTCAGAGATGTAGGCAACGGCTTGACGGTGACACTGTTTGTTTCCAAAGCTACAAGCTAACATGATAAGCTCTCTCTGCAACTCCCTGAATAGACATAGAGAAGAAAAAATGCTCAAAGAAACATCTTATGGACAATAGGTTCTTGTCTGGACACAGAACATCACTCAGATGTAGCACAGAGATTATTCCAGAAAATTTTCAGACTGGTTTAGCCTAACACTTAAACTTTTATCATGTCTCAAATTGCATTCTTGCATTTTCTATTTGGAGTGCATACCATGAGATTCTAGATGGCAGCATAATACTTGCTAGCTAGCAGTAGCTGATTTTTTAAAGGTCACAGCACTCTGTGCTTAATAACTTTGTGGAGGGTGACTGGTGGTTCTTTATGTTAAATTTATGGTCTGAGATTTCCAGGTTTGAGTCATAGAAGGTAGATATTACTTTGTCTGAACTCCATTGTCAGCAAAAAAAATCCCCCTAAAATCAACACGTTTAACCATTAATGATTTGCAGTCTAGCTAACAAACATCAAGCTAAGCTAAACCACGACTTTCGCCTCTGTCCACACTGGACATAGATACGGCTGACTTCTGATTCATTAGTTTGAGTTAAGTAACCCAAGAATCTGACATGAATAATTCTGCTCAACGATGTGACAGGAAAGAGAATAAGCAGGCTGCTAGAATGCTGAACTACGTTTTGTTTTCTGTTTCAATGATGCGACGGTGTTTCTCAGTCAAAGAACAAATGTTGTTAAAGGGGCACTGCCGTCCACTGACTGACTGAGTGTTGTTAGTGCAATAACACCAACAGGAATGTCTGTGTGCTGCATACTCAGTCTGGTAGGATGCTTGCAGGACGTTGCCCTCTGTGCCGGGGCCATTCGTTGGCCAACCCATCTGATGGTACCGCGATGCAACCTGCTTCAGCACGTAGTCCTGTTAGCACACACAATGATAAGAGACTGTTTATTCTGCTAACAAGAAGCAGTTAGTGGTTAATTGATCGATTAAGATTGTGACTGATTGGTTGTTTACACTGAACAGCCTGTATTCGTCTGTGCGGTCCAGCAGTTTGTCCAGCTGGTAGAGCGCTCGGCTGGCAGCGTGCCATGGAAGGAAGGACATCTCCTCTGGCAGATAGCCAATCAGCTGCAAAGGAACACCCTGTGGAAGGTACCCCGCCCTGAGGAGAGATGATGTGGATAAAAAGGGAGTAGTGGGAAAAGTGTTAAGGCAAAAACATCTTGGTAAAGAGGAGACAGTTATTCTTAAAATTCTCAAAACATGAAACAAATGGAAAAGACATTAAAGACTTTAAAGGTACAGTCAGTCATTTTTTTAAGTTCATTGAAAATAAAATAAACTTTAAAAATTTTAACTTGTGTCTAGACCGTGCTTTATCATCTAAGAAGAGCTGCCTTCATCACAGAAGTGAAAGCACAAAGAAAACAGACAACTCTTGAAATGAAGTCAGATCTCTAACACATGAAAATGTGCATAAACATGCTTACTTATTCACAACACTGTCACAATTAATTATTGCCAAGAGATTAGACATGGGATCCTCCCGTCTCCAGAAAACTGACAACGAGCTGGCGAAACAACAGCAGCAGCTGGTTACAAGTTACATCAGCTAATGTTAGACTTGAGTGTCTTAAAAATAACACTTTTCTTCTGTCAAACAGTTTGATTAAATTTTCATGTTGAGTGAGTTTATTATGTTTGATCCACTTTGAAGAAAGTTGAACTAAAACCAGCTAACAGCTCTAACAGCAGCTCTGCTGTATTTTCTACTGCATTCTACTAATCCAGGTCTATTTATGATTAAGGAAAAAGTAAAGAAAAGCTAGTCTTCATTAGCAACTACGAGGGAGACTATGTTCGCACAACAGTTGAGATCTTTTTAAAGTCTGGTAAGAACGTTTTGTCATTCTTTGGAGGAATTTTTTATGGTCATTTTTGGAGATTTTAATATCTCAGAGCAACAGCCAACACAAATCCTCTCTCTGGTTATTCATATTTTTGAGGTCTTTTTTTGTGTCTTTTCCCCTAACAGGGACACATCATGAATATTTCCAGGAACTAAATTAAGACATGAATTATTTGTTGTTTTTGGACACACTTGCCATTCCGTACGGAATCTTTGATATCAGTATTTCTGTAGATTTTCAGGACACACAGAGGACCCTTGAGCTAATGTAAAGATAGATTTAATGAAGATTTGATCTTTAACCCTCATTGTTTAACCCTCAACCTAAAAAGCACCACTTTAGGAACACATTAACAAAAACATGGCCTCTAACCTGAGCTATTTAGCAGCCCCGGTTACATCCACTGCCTCATCAATATTAACGAGCTTCTTTTGTGCATTTATTAACATTCATGATGCTTTTTGGTGAGGGGTGGGCACCTCACCTGTTTCCTGCACTGACCTGCGCTCACGCCCACAGCTCATGAATATTAATGAGGCAGGGTGGTGGAGGACACAAAGTGAACTCAGAAGTATTGTTAGGGGTTTTTTTTGTTTTTGATTCTGATTATTGATGTTCAGTGAGAGAGCCCAGCCTGACGCCGAACAGTGACCTTTACAGAGGATGTCAATCACAGTGTCTGACTCATACACACAAGAGGAGGTGAAGAAAGTGAATGTTCTTTTATTGAAATACTGCTTTTTTTTTTTTGGTAGGCTTTTCAGAGGCAGACAGACAAGATGACAGGGGCAGACTCCACAGAAAGTCAATCTGTTTGAGATAAGACTCGCTAAGTCTCTGAGCTGCCAAGGAAAGTCTGAATTCCAGACCATCATATTTCCATAATCTGCCTCATTTCCAACCCGACCAGCCTCCACACATTCATCTCCATTCCCATCATGCACCTGGCCTCTGGGACATTACCATAATCCATCCAGCCTGCACACACTTCCTGTTTACCACGCTGCAAAAACACTGACGGGACTCGACATGAAGGCAGAGAGAGATTGCAGTCACCATGGCAATTCCAGCTGGACATTTATCTGTTTTCTTATTTGTTTATTTGTCATTGTTTTCTAAACATCATCCATCAGCTATCAGTCCACATCAGCTCTGAGACTCGTTCGTGTCACACGTCACTGATGCTGCATGTGATCCATCATCAAAGCGACAACTGTCAAAATAATAAAAGGGTCAAAAAAATCTACCTCAGCAGCTTTTATATGAAGTTTAATATGAGGTCAGGTATTTTTTCTACTGCCAAACACTGTAAACCTTGCACATCTGGCAGAGAGATTTCATTCTTATGTAAATTAATAAATTATTCATAACACAAAGGTCTCCTTACATGCGTCAACAAACTTAGCCCCACAAAAGTTTAACTGCACACTCCACTGAAAACTGCACAAAACTAAAAACAAAGAAATCAACTGAAGATAGAACCAAATATTACACAAGTGGAACATTTCCTTTACTGATTTTTTTTATATTTAGATGAGCAGAGTGATAATGAAAAACATTACAGACTGTATATATAAGATGGAAGTTGCTACCATGAAATCCCCTGATGGCTCATGGCCTTCTTTGTGAACCCTCAACCTGAGAAATGTGTCACAAAACCACAAAAAGACTTAAAAACTGAAGATAACTGGATGCCCATTGGTTGAAGACTTACCAACCACATGGTAAGATAGGTCCTGCTTGATTTCCTGTTTGCTTAAATATTACATAAGCACTTTGGACCATAAAACCTATCAGAGAAAAAAAAAAATAGTTCAAAGACTGAAGACTGAGCTAAAGGGTTGTTTTCTTTAGAAAAACTTCTTTAGAACTGAACATGGGCGTCCTTCTATTGGTCATAAAAATGAATGCAGGTTGAACTCATCACTTATGAGCATGCTTAAATCTGTTTGGTAAATATGAGGTGACAGCTAAAATTTTACTGCAAGATAAGTGAAGAAAGAACAGAGTGGATGTGCAACTGTGAAGGGTGTTAAGGAGGAGTGCGTGAAAAGTAAGTTACTTTTAGAGGACACGACTGGTCGACAATACCAAGATTGTTATAGGATTATTAGATGTTGCTGGTGATGCGGCCTAATGCAGTGGCTTACATCCTCAATAAAACTGCCAGAGTTGAATACAAGGACCTCAGTAAGCAGACTTCAGCTTTGATTACGTAGTTAATCTCTCTTTTGTAAGGACTCTACAGTTTTGATTGCATGACTCTCGTGACCACTCTTTGTTCATCAGGACAAACAGTCACCTTTCAGCACCTTCTCTTTTCTGTCTATATTGTGTCTGCAATGAACACTGGAATCTCTAGGAAATGCTAGCAGGGCTTTAAATTTTAGTGTAGTTGTGAAATGAAGTGAAGCGATTATAGATTTTCAATTTTTTCTCTCAGTTACAGTCTCCCTCGCTCTCTCTCTGTTGCACCCAGGGTTGTCGTCTTAACGAGCTCATTAACTCGTTAACATCGTTAAGGGCCAGTTAATTGTTTGTCCATTAGCCATTAGCAAGGCTCAGTGGAGAGCTAACGAGGGACTGGTGCACACATATAAGAGAGGCAACATCCATCACTGTTTAAGCGTACACTCACTGAGGCATTTATTACTGCTAAACTAGCCTGATACACACACACACACACACAAACACGCACGCACACACGCACACACACACACACAAACACACGCACGCACACACACACCTTCATACAGTCGTGCTGCCTCCTATTTGTAGTTAGTGCTGGGTGGATTACTCAGGCTTTGGTCAATTGAAGTGTGAGCAGCAGAAGAAGAATCAGCACGACTGAAATTAATTCTGAGATTAAAGAATCAATTCAGTGAGCAGCTCTCAGAAAAAGGCTGAAATAACATCTTCATAAATAAGACGCATTTCTCAGTCTGCTAAATGAGCAGAGCTGGCAGTTTCTTTTTTTGCCTTCAGTGCGATAAAACAGATCTCAGTGGTTTTTTTGTGACTCAGAAGTGATCAGTGGCCTGGCAGCTGATTTGTTTGTGACCTGAAGAGTTTATCACAGTTTAATAATTTCTGGCTTTCATTTCGATCAGTACGAGCACTACACTCCCCGAAATAATCAGTTGATGCCACGATAAGGTGGAGAAATAAATCCCTGAGCTAGGAATCAAACTGTGGAAGAGGTACTATAAACTGCACATACCCAGCCTTCTTTTACCTCACCTCACCATCACTGGATATGAAGTACAGGCAGCAGATTCAACACAAGCTGTGCCTTCTATGTTATCAAATTAAAGAGGATGATTCTGAATTTCCCTTAGATGATGTGCAGGAATACGTTTTCTTGGTCTATATGCATGGATTACACATTTCTTTCCAGTAATGTCCCAAATGAATCAGAGGCAGCCCACAAGAAGATACCGTGGATCAAACACAGGGATGCACTAGATTGGTTATTATGTTAGTTATGTCACATAAATGTATGAGCTGTATGGATATAAAGTGGAATGTTACAGAACTTTATTTAAATCAGACATTTAATGATAATGAGAAAAGCCTTCAGGCAGTATAAAAGATGTAAGTAATTTCCCTTCTGATTTCCAAAACGTGATGCACATTTCAAATAAATAAATAAATAAAATACAGCTGTGGTCTGAAGAAGGCTGAATACACTCATCAGGAGCATCAAATATATACATACACCCACTTAAATCCTTTACTAAGTGCAGCCAAAGCCTGCCATGAACTGGAAACTGCTGGAACACCAGCGTCACTGTTCACAGTGAAGTGTGTTTTACATCTCCATGGACTGAGCACCGTGAGGCTTTCAAAGCTAAGAACACAGGACTAATTGTCCAGCATGGCGGTGGTAGCAAGACAGATTAATGAAGTTGGAGGATTGCCTCTAAATTCTTTAACTTCACCTAAAATTAACAGGTAGATGGACACAGTTTGGTGTTCTAACAGGACAAATACACAACAAAACTGGTTTTGGAAAGGATACAGCAGGCTAACATTGCGCTACTGGAATGGCCTTCCCAAAGTCCTGACCTCAACCCTGCTTTTGACTATGCTTAAAAGTCAGATCTATGCCGATGAACCAAGAAGCTGTCAGGAAGAACGGCCAAATACGCAGCCAGAATTATGCCAGAACCTCCTTGATGGCTAACAAAAACATCTGTTTGAGGTGCCACTTGCTAACATACATTTAACCAAATATTAGTGAGGGTATATCTACTGTATATACTGTATCTGAGTATGTATGTGCATTTCTGACCCTATGTGGATCAGAAAAAAATTGAAAATAAATTCAAACTTGTGCACCCAGTTGTTGTTTTTCAAAGTCATTAAAAATGTATGCTCTGCAATCATCCCACCCTGGAAAACCAGTTCAAAGAAGTCATTAAAAATCCAAAATTACCCTGACATTCATGCCCATGATGGATGTAAACTTCTGTCCACACCTGTAAGTGTTCGTTGTGTGATTTGGCTACATTTTATGAAATACATTTGATGTTTTTTATCCACTCACATGCAGCCCTGACAATATGATGTATATGATTTGATTGCGTATTATCGAAGTAAAACTAAGGAAGCGAGAATCAAATCCTGTGTTTTGAGCTAATGATAACTTTCTACATATTCATAAGAAAAAATGTCTTTAGCCCACTTTAAGTTGGAAAAAGTTCCTGTAATGCTCTTAGTGTCTTCTAGATGTCTTTGCTCCTGAAATAAAGAAGCGAGAAAATCCGTGAAGCAGATGTTGAGCTCAGAAAGCACGTTTGGAAAATGACTAAGCCTCAAAAAAGAATGTGTGAGACCTACAGTTAATGTTTCACATATAGCAGAAGGCTTCTTTTAGGATTAATAGCATCTCAGAGAAACTTTGCCAACAGGATGTGTATCAAAGTGTTTCCTGTCCTCAAAAAGTTTAACTCTTAAAAAATAAATGTTGCATAGAAAAATACTTTTTGTGGGAGGACTAAAAAAACAAAACAAAAAGTTCATCGGGTTAAAAAACAAACTAATTCTTTTCTTTTTAATGTTGCGTGGTTGTGCTACTGCAGATCCAGGGTGAAGTAAGAGTACGCTGCTATCAGTGTGCATATTCATGGATCTGTAGTTTCTTTTTCGGTACAGATGGAAACCTCCTGCTGAGCTCCCAACTCAACACACACACACACACACACACACTCCTGAGCAGAAGACGACAGCGCAGTCGTCTCTGGATGTTGCTCATTCAACATGACAGAGGACAGATGGCTGAGAGAGGGAAGGGAAGATACAGAAAGAAAAAAAGGAGCCGGGGTAGATTGAGTTATAGGCTTGGTGTCAGAGTAGATTTTGGTTACAGTGCTCAAAAAGCTTCAGGCTGAAAACATCACCATGAGAAACGACTCACTCAGCCTCCCCCCGCCTCCCCCCGCCTCCGCCCTTGCCGTGGCTGCTGATCGCTCGTTCATCACCGAGTTCCCGTCTGCCTTTGCTTATTTTTCAAATTCTTTGCACACTGTCTGTACGCAACTTCTTTGAATTCAGAAATGTGGACGGACCCAGGTGTGTGTGAGGCAATTCAGCTCCTACCCTGACCCATTCACAGCCACACTGTAGCACCAGGGGACACACCGGCAGCTCTGAGGAGACTTTGCATGAATTCCAAAAAGCAAAAATAGTGCAGTAGTAACATCAAAGAGATACTGGACTAAATGCCAGCTGCTCAGATGGCTCATTTTAGTAATTATAAACAAATGATGGAGCTCAAATCATCCAACTTTTCACAATAATAAAACAATTCTGGCACCTGAACTTAATTAATTTCAATGAAATGCAGGTGAACTCTGAAATTCTCAGAAAGCTGTATGATCCTGGAGTGCTTGTAGGAATAACTGGATAGGAACTGTGGCTGAATAGTGTAGTGGTAAGACTACAAATCTTTGGAGTAGGAGTCACAAGTTTGATTCCCAACCGGTATCCAGTAAGGGTCTTGACTAGACCCCCCATGCTAAAACCAAGCCTTGGGATGGCGCGGCTATGTGTGCAACCTGTCCATAGCTCGGACACAAGTATGCCGCTACATATTGTACTCTGTATGATTGTGTATGCAAAATAAAGTTTGTTTGGAGGAAATGGTTGTGGTTGGTTTTCACCGACCACCACTCAATGAAAAACAGATCCTCTCTCTAAGACTCAAAAAAAAGGTGTTGTTTTAGCAAAACCAAAGTTTACTGGAAAGCTGTTGGAGACACACACCAAGCATGCTATATGTGGGAAGTAACTGATGATAAGAATTCAGGGGAGAACATAAAACATCACACTGGATTCAGGATTGAGGAGAACCATCTAGTACAAGGCAGTGTTGCTAATCCCAGAGCCGCAGAGCTGCACTTCTCCATGTGCTGGTGGAAGTGTGTGTGTGCTGGTAAAGCTCTGTCCTGAACTCGTCTGTATAAAGAGTCATGGGCCTCAACTGAACTCACATTATACAGAATAAACCTCTGTATACACGGCCAACTAAATCGAAGTCTATACCCGGCGGCAAAACAAAACACCTACTCAAATCTGAAACACATCTGTTGATGTTCAAAATTTCCATCTGTTTGACAGAAGACGACAAACCGTCAGTCCTGTGCAAGAAAAGCCCTTCACCTTATAGGAAAAACACAGAAGCAGATACCAGAGATCTGCCTGGCTCTATCCTCTGTGTCCACATGCTTTTATGTCTTGAAGTCAGAGTGAAAGATGAGCCAATAAGTAAGAAAGAGACTGAGAAAAGGGTTAGAACCTCTCCTACTTCTGCCACTGCGGTATATCATAGCAAACTATCATCTCACCTGGCCAGGTTAAAAGCATCATCGATAAGTCCTGCCCTGTTTCCAACGGAGATGATCTGCAAGTGAGCAACAAGCAAAGAGGGATTGAAAAACTGAAAGAGAAAAAAACAGACAAACGCAGATGTTACTGAATACAGACAAGATTTACTTGGGGGTTGGTGTGCAGCTGCTGAATCAGCAGTTTCCAGTTTTGGAGGTCATAGTTCACGCGGAAGTAGCCCGTCTGATTGATGTTGCCTACCAACCATGTGCTGTCATCCATCTGACCAATCCTGTGGGTTTCTGAGACACAACACAACAACAAAACATTAAAACACTTAATCCAAGCATCGAGAAAACAAAGACATCAAAAATATTAAAAACATCAGATACGCAGATAACGACATGGTGTCCTGTCCGGATCTTCAGAGGACTCCAAGTTCCAGTTCCAGTTCCTCCTATAGTGTAGGGTTTTTTAAAACATTTTTTAGGGCTTAAAAGTTAGAAGTGAAATGACAGTAACACTCAATGAACTCATTACTTGGTATTAAAATGTTGGTTTCTCACTTTATACACTGTTGTCATTCAAGCAATAATAATAAAGGTAAAATATAGCGATGTGTTATGCCAGCTAGGGCTGGACCATATCACACCGTTCACGGTAACACCGGTATAATGTTGGGCAACGATAAGAAAATGAAATATCGCGATAAAATATGGTTAGAACGCGCATGCGCAGAGCCTTTGTTTTCATACGCACATGGCGGAAAAAGCCTGGCAGCGACTAAGAATGAGAAGGGCGAAAGCGGATTGTTGAATGAAACAGATGAACCAGAACTGGTTTGTAAAAATGCTGCAATTTCAGTGGTGTGGAACTGGTTTAGTTTTCGTCCGTCAGATACACAACAAAGCACTATTTTTGGTAGCGCATGCTAGCGGGCCGTCGTTATTACCATGTTATTTGGAAAATACGGCACACTTAAAATCAATCCTTTGATTTTTCTGAAAATCGACAGCGCCCCTTATAATCCCGTATGCCTTATGTATGAATTCTGGTTGTGTTTACTGACCTCGAAATGATTTTATGTACATGGCGTCAAATGTTTTAGTACGACTTTGCTAAGCTACGAAGCCGCACCGCTTGATGGATTGTCGGAGCATTGCAGCTATCGTAGGCAGGAGCCTCGCGAAGTGTTAAACTGTCAGCGAGGAATTTGCATTTGCACTGTAAAATTTTTATAAAACTTTAATGCACATAAAAAAAACAGCTGCTTGTTTAAGTGAAAATACATAGATTTATTTTTTTTTGCACCAATAAAGTTGTGGAGTTGTAAAGTATTTTGTCTCGTGTCAATTATATCGTCAGTTATATCATTATCACAAATTTTCAAATGTATATCGTGATAAATATTTTTGGTCATATCGCCCTGCTCTAATGCCAGCACAAACTGGGTTTTGACATAAATAAAAGTACTGTAAGGATTAAATTGAGTGCAGTGACAAGATAACTTGTAAGAGGAGGGGACACTAATATTTTTGGTACTGACCAATCGTACCAATATTTAACAGTAAAGTTTTGATTTTTTTCTGGTATTGAAATAAACTGACTGCACCATTTTAGCCCATTTAGTAAATATGGCTCTAAAAGTTGTTTTTTTGTTTTCTTTTTTCCGTGAACTCAGCAGTTTTCAGTTTTTATGTGTTTTCATAATTTCTTCTTTCATTTTAACTGAAAGAAAATGTACAAAATGTTTAATTTTACTTTCTATATTAGACATTCATTAATTGCTTTTATTAGACAGTGACAGTGTTTTTATTAGACAGTGCCTCATTTTAATATTTAAATATAAACATTTGGAAAACTTGATATAAGCAATCGACTGCAGACATTTTGAGGTGATATTAATGAAAATATTCATCCATTAATCCATTCATCCTATCATAGGCTGAGAGGCTGTTGTAGGAATGGTAAGACAGTCTGTATCGACAATCTGTTGCAGTCTATTACACTTCATTTATCATTCACAGTCTCATTCAACATTTTATTCCAAAAAACATGCACAATATTTTTCCCAGGCTGTTTACAGGATTTTTTGAATTATAGATTAGTAAAAAGAGATTTCTAAAATCCTCTCTGAAAAATCATCTGGCTTTAATGTGTCATTAAAAAGATAGAATAAGATTTTTGAATCTGGTTTTAGCATGTCCTCCAATTTGTTCTGTTTTGGAAAAGAGTACAAACCAGGAATATTTGTACAGAGGACGCCCCATTTGTACATTTCAATCTAACACTTTAGAAAACTTGGAACATACAGACCAAATAGAAAATTGGGTGCAGCAGAAAAAAACATCTTGAAACTACAACCAGCTAAGAATAGCCTGCTCATTCTGCACAACCTTTTAAGGATTGCAGCGTCTCACACAACAACGTGAATATTCTCAGAGATGGTAAAATTAGGTTGTAAGCTTTAGTAGAGCAGCTTGTAGGATGTGTATAACAGCCTGCTGAGGAAAACAGGAAAATAGCAGCTGACTCCAGTCTGGCCCACTTCTTCAACTTATTCCCTCTGATAGGAAACAAACTGCCTCTGAGTCGTGAACTTTAAGACTCCTTTCTTCTCATTGCAAATAGGTGAAGTTATGCCAGAATCCAGACTCTTCTTCTGAAGTCAGCTCTTTCCAAAGATGAGAACCTGATGTTTTTTTAGGCAAAGACAGATATAGAAAGTATATTCCTCAAAAATAGGCCCGAATTACGTCCATTCTAAAGAGACTGAAGGGGAACAAGCCAGAAAACAGAGTTATCATCTCTGACAACACTCATAAAGTGAGAATAGCATTATTTCAGAGAGGCCCAAAAGTCATGCTCAGCTTTAATCATTAGATAATCTAACCGTCAGCACACATCAGCTGATGGCTCTGTGAAACCTTCGACTAGTCCAATCAGAAACTCTCATACACTGTGATAACCTGTCCGAAGCTGCCGCTTTGCAGCTCACCTCAAGCCGAGCTCCTCTTTTCATGCTTCATGTTGTTTCTGGCTTAATAAACGTCATATCTGCTGTTACCGATGCCTGCTCTGATCTGTGTGTGTGGTGGTGGAGGTGGTGGGGTCTTAAAGCTGGTTTCACTGGCACAGAGCTTCAGGCAGAATTACCTTTAAAAAATCTGAAGCTTCAGTTTTCCAGAAAAAAAACAAACTAAACCAAGCAGGATTTTATTCCATAAAGCAGCCAGCAAGACAAAAGAGGAACAAGCTTTATTCTGAAAGGTTTATTTTTCATGTAACACACTTTTCTCCAAAAGCTAATAAAGACAAAGCACTACCTCTACAGAAAATTTTTGTTGTCTGTAAGAAGTAATTTTATTGTCCTAATATCAAAGAAAATGCAGCTGTACTTTGTAGAGCGCGCTATTCTTTAAAAAAGCAAGCTCGTGTGACCTTTATTTCTCTAAAAGCTGAACAACAATGAGTTTTACACATTGTTAAATAATGAGGGAGTTTTATTTAGAAGAAAAAAACTTTCTTTATGAGAAAATAAAACATGAAGAATTAGCCATATTTATATGTGGGAGGTTCGGTGTTTACTGCCAGCACTGAAAGACCTCTAACCTTGAAAATGAGATGCCTCAAAACAATCTACTGTATCTGTTCGCTTCGATTTGTTGAGCCCATTAACTACAGATTACATGTCTGGAGATAATGAGATAATTAATTTGTGATCAGGAAATAGATTAGTCTGTTGGCATAACAAAATAATGCCAAGACAACGGCTCATCATTTCAAGGTAACACGATAATTAAGTCATGATTGCAGAGCAAGCTTTCATGAATGATCTGAGACGTGAGAGCAGCACAGAGCATCATTACACCCACACTACTGTACCTGTCTTGTTGTTGATCCAGATGAGAGACTCTGAACAAACGGCGGATGTGTTTCCCACGGCAACTGTGAGAGGGACCTGCCACTGTAAACTACAGAGAGAGAGTGATGTCAGTAATGGTCAGTGGAATTGGATTGGGTTTTATTGCCTCAGTTATCAGATAGAGAGGCATTACAGAGAGAAGAGAGAGCGATGGTCAGCGATGATCTCTTAGCATCATTCAGCTGGAAATGGAGCGAGTGACGCTCACTGTGTTACAGAGGGACAGGAAGTGAGAGTGTAATAGCTGCAGCAGTCAGCAAGCATCAGTCAAGTGGAAGTAACTGAAGGTTATTGTCACTTTCTGAGAAACGGAGGTTAAATGTGCTGTCCAGTGAAAACTCTGGTTGGTTAGTCGGGTGATTTTTACACTTTCACTGTCATCTGAACAATACAGAAATGCCTCTTCACTGCTTGAGTGAATTCTGCAACTTATCGAGCTTTTAAAAAACAATTATATTACCACAAAATGGCAGTGCTGCTGGGATTGAACTGGACTGTTTTTCTTCCTGAACGGTTGACATTTAGGAGTTAAACGGTTTCTGAGAAGCAGCAAGGCAGATGAAATGTGGGAGTAATACACTCTGAAAAAGAAAATCTACCAACAAAACCATCTATCCATCCATCTAGTTTTTCCTCATGACAACAGGCTAAGACCTAAACCTTTTTCCTGTTTTTCCCTAGGTATTCAGATGCGTTTCCTGACCACACATCCCAAATTTCTCCAGCAAGTTATGCTCTACGGGGAGCCTGGAAAACGGGAGGTTTCCTGTTCAGATCCCTGGACCATCTCAGGTGGGTTCTTTCATCACAAAGAAGCAGCAGCTCAAATATTACTTTGGGTGTTTTTTAATCTGTTCAATACATTGCTTTAACCTCAATCCATACTGGTTTCACAAAATGACCACAGTTTATCATTTTCCTGTTCACATTGTTTTCATGGGTAGAAACCCTGGTTACAGCTGAGACCTCAGAATGCTTGGATAGTCAGTAAAATTGTTTTATACTGTCTTTGGTTGCATATACCAAGTTGGACACACCCCCTGTCTTTCTTATCAAAACTGGCTTAATCTTATAGGGTGTTGGAAACATTCCTCTGGAATTTTGGTCCTAACTGCTTTAGATGTGTGGGCTAGATGAGAAAATCCCATTACACAACATCCAAAATGTGTTCTATTGGATTGAGATCTGGTGAGGAGTGAACTCACTGTTATGTAAAATAAAAAAACATTTTGGGATGAGTTGAGCTTTGTGGTATGCTTTGTTGGATCCTGCTGGAAACAGCCATTATAAGATGCGTACAATGGGGTTATAAATGGATGATAGGTTTCAGCAATGATACTCAGGTAGCCTATGGTGTTTAAACAATACTTAGTTGGTGCTATGGAATCCAAAGTTTTCTCAGAGAAAGCACAATAAACAGATAAGATAAAAACATTGTATGATAAACTTTCAGTGATCTAAATGGTATGACAGAATCCTGAGGATACACAGTAATTCAATTTCTTTAAACAATTCATATTGAAGTCTTCTCTACCAAGGTTAGTGCAGATGTAAGAGAGGTTTATGGTTTGTGGATCCTCTACTGTGGTTGTATGTGAGGTACTTTGTTCATCTGTAAAGCTCTTTGTTAAAGCTTCCAAAGTGATATAAAAATGTTATAACTGAAGCCACACCAGCTCGGACGTCCCCCAGATTAACAAGGTCCACATCAGGTGTTGAGGAAGGCTACTGGGACAAGAAGGCATAAGTGGATAAGGGTGAGAACAGTGAATAGGAGAAATGGATTCCCCCTATTCACCATTTCTTGCTGTCGTAATGCTGTTATGCAAGTAATCCAAATGGAAATGTGAAACAACTAGTAGATCACAGTTCCAACTACTAGCAACTGCTATCACAACTAGAGATTGATTGGATACAACACAAATGCTACGGCAAGCTAGGATCATGGCGAAGCTGGAAACCTGGTTCCTCTGTGGCCGATTACTATGTACTATGTAACTCTTTTCACATCTTCTGTTAGATCTTCAGAGGCTACTTGAAGGTCTACTAGTGAATGCAGCATTGTTGACAGTCCCGACTGTGACCATTGCTGAAACCAACCATCTGATCTATACCATGAGATGCTTGGCTGCAAGATGAACGGCCTCAAGGAGCAGTACCCCTCAATGGGGATGGGGACTTCTCCATGGAGCCCATTTATCAGAGCTGCAGAAAGATGTGATAAAGAAAGCAATGCCTAAGAAGTACTACTAGCTGCCCATACCTGGGACACTGGAAACTGCCAAGCAAAGACTCACAGATTTATACTAGGGAGATTAAAGCCAGGAGCATAAACCAGCTGTTCTCCACTGGACAATCCAAGGTGTACTCTCAGTGGCAGAGGAACTGGACGTCATGACCATCTGGCAACACAATTGAACCAAGTGCTAAAGGATGAAGCGAACTAGGAATGGCTAACTGAAGGCTGGACAGTCCTGATCCCCAAGGATCCCTAGAAGGGGCCAGTCCCATCCAACTGCCAGCCAATAACCTGTCTCAGCACTACATACAAAGTTCCTGTCAGGCATCATAGTGGCTAAGATGAACAGGCACATACGTCAGTACATGAGTGGGGCCCAGAAAGGAATTGGCACAAATAACCAGAGGGGTAAAACACCAACTCCTGGTAAATACAGCAGTTGCTAAAGACTGATCAACATGTGCACCACCTGGACTGGTTTCAAGAAAGCCAACAACTAAATGCCTCACACATGGATCCATGTCCCAAAGGGTCAGGACTGTTTCAGCAGCAAAAGGGGACCAACATAATATAAGGTAAGTGGTAATGTTAATGTTATGCCGGATCGATGTATGTGCATGGCCAAAAAGTATAAAGCAAACAAAAAGAATTGCAGAACTATTTATGATGGCACGAGTGCATTATTGTTCGTCTGAGGTGAATGTTTTTGGCCAAAAACCAAACCCATGCGGATAGTGCTCTGTGAGGAAAGAATTTAGCTGAGTCTTAGAGCTCATTAGGAACAAATAGCTTCTTGATGCTTCCCTATTAGATGTTAAACTCTAATTTTAATCCTAACAGTTACCATATGTAAGTACTAATAAGAGTCCTAAAAGTGAGTGTTTCTCTTCAGCACTGTTAAGAACCCTGACGTTATAATTAGACTCATTTTGATCAAATTGATTCATATTGTAATTAGACTGGATTTTCATTAGAAATGGCAAACAATCAGCTTTACATAAATACTTTACATCCAGTCAATTCCCCTTATTAAGCAGTGGGTGTGTGAATACTGTAAAGTAAGGGTCATTGTAACACAATCAGCCTGAGAAAGAACCATTTACTATTCCTATAATAGCAATTTGTCGCTGCAGGCTATAGTGGATCAATACCACTGCCTAGCAAGCAAATACTTTATCTGATATTTATATCAATGTGATTGACAGGAGTGGAGCTAAACCACACACACATACACACCCACAGAGACACACACTGGAAGACACACAATCCACAGCCTGGACAGCAGAATGTGTTTATTAATATTGATGCAAGTGTGTGTGTGTCCTCAGAGTTTATGGTTTATTCATCAAAGGCAGAAACCAAGTGAAACACACACATTCATGCTGGAGGTAGAGAGAAACGCAGTATGACTGCAGTGATCTATTCAAAGTGGGAAACTTTAGAAACTCTTCAGACAGCCTTCACCTTTCTGCTCATCTTCCTCCATTAAAGAACATGTTGACCCCATTTAGACTTGTCGTTCCAAGTGTCTCCAAGTCAGATAAAATCCAAACCTTTATGATCAAAAATACACCTACCTGCTCCTCTAATGCCAGGATCAGAAGCCACAATATCAGCTTGATAATGGCTCGACAGACATGGGCTGTCAGGAATAAAAATGAGAGACATGCGGCGTCTCGTGGCATAAAACAACCCAAAGCTTCTAGGTCACTTCACAACTTCCAGACACAGAGGGCAATTTGTGTGTCACAAAATTAACACAAAACAGCACTTAATACAGACCACACCATAAAATTACCATAAAACTCAGTGACAAGCACCAAATTATTCATGACTACATGACTGCTCTGCGTTGGAACACAAGATGCCCTGAGGACGATTTACAAATGGGCACTTATAGTTTCCCTTAGCACCCAGAGCTAGCAGAGCCAGAAACGCTGATCATTCATATTAAGATGATTATTTATAAGTAGAACTTGACTATCACCAATGTTTGATGCTGTGTCAACACAGGAAAGAGTTTATGAAGGAGTATCAAACAGGGCACTTGAGTTTTACCGAGGAAATAACCAGGAGGCATCCTAGTCAGATACCCAAACCCTACCTTCACTGTTTCTGTCTGATGGTGGAGACCAGTATTCCTACCCTGAACCTTCTCCCAAATAACTGAGCAGTTCACCATTTCTCTAAAGGAGGTTCTAAGCAACCTTCTGAGGAAGCTCATTTCCATTGCTTGTATCCTCAATCTATTTTATTCACTACCCACAGCTTGTGGCAGGACTCTAGACTATTCATTTTGTGTTAATATCCAATATACTGTTGACCAAAACACAAAAGGTTTGTGGATGATTGTGGGACCAGTTCACATATCTTATAAATCATGTGAAAAACTACTCGAGACTCTAGACTCACTAGACTGGGTAGTCACTGCAGTTATCCTCAGCAGATGATGAAATTTATCTGACTTTTGACGAGATACCAAATAGGTTGATGGAAAAATAGAGATGTCTTGGATCAGAGTTTAATTTTATTTTCAAATTAAATCAATGGAAAAAGAAAAATGACGGATAAAAGAAAATAAAAAAAAGTATATTGCAGGAATGTTCTTCAAATGGCCACTTGAGGTGAGCTCCTGAAGACAGTCCTCCCCATAGACTCCCATGTTAAAAAGCCCAAATTTACAGTGGAAATAAACATACTTATAGCCTGGTAAAAACAAAAAAGCAAACAACCAAAAAAGACGTTTTTTGTCTCTAAAGCTACAGCTCACCCTAACAGAAACTGTATAGACCTCAGGAATATTTTAGCAC